ATCAGCTCCACCCCACCTGTCCTGACGGACACAGGAATCAGCTCCACCCCACCTGTCCTCGTGGACACAGGAATCAGCTCCATCACCACCACCTGTCCTGACAGACACAGGAATCAGTTCCACCACTGCCTGTCCTGACGGGCACAGATCCCATGAGCTGATTCTAGCACTGGTGCTAGCACAGGACACCAAATATCTTCCATTGAACCCTCACAGTCACCTCACGAGGCAGGCCCGGACCCTCGGTCTCCCCACGAGGCAGGCCCGGACCCTCAGTCACCTTACGAGGCAGGCCCGGACCCTCAATCACCCCATGAGGCAGGCCCAGACCCTTAGTCACCTCACAAGGCCGACCCAGACCCTCAGTCTCCCCACGAAGCCAATCCGGACCCACAGTCACCCTACAAGGCTGACCCAGACCCACAGTCATCCCACGAGGCAGACCCAGATCCTCAGTCACCCCACGAGGCAGGCCTGGATACTCATAGTCACCCCACGAGGCAGGCCTCAACCATCCACTGAGCACTCTGCCCCCACCCCGGCTGCAACACCCCCTCCACACAGCCCAAGGAGGTGACCTGAGGCCACCTGACATTGATGAGCTGCAGCCTCCAAGAAGAACCTGCAGTCCCTGCACACCTGGGAGCCCCACCTGCCGTTCCCCGACACATTCCCCGCACGGAGCCCTCATCTCCCAGCTCACCTGCCTCACCAGTTGCTCCCTTGTATTCTAGGCTGCGTGTGGTCCTCAGGCCTTTGCTCGTCCTGCACCCTTCACCTGGGGTACCTGTCTCTCCCTAAACCTTCGGTCCACCTCTCACTCCTATTCCATTCATTCATTCATTTATATTTTGAGAGGGAGTCTCACTGTGTCACCCAGGCTGGCATGCAGTGACGCAATCTCAGCTCACCGTCACCTCTGCCTCCTGGGTTCAAGTGATTCTCCTGCCTCAGCCTCCCGAGTATCTAGGACTACAGATGTGCGCCACCACACCCAGCTAAGTTTTGAACTTTTAGTAGAGATGGGGTTTCACCATGTTAGCCAGGATGGTCTCAAACTCCTGACCTCAGGTGATCTGCCCGCCTCGGTCTCCCAAAGTGCTGGGATTACAGGTGTGAGCTACTGCACCTGGCCTGTTCTTTTTGAAGACTCTTTTACACATGACCTTCACCTGGAGGCTTTTCCTTGATCCCCTCCAAACAGGTAAAGAATCCATTCTCAGAGTTCCTGGAAGGCCTGGGCATATGTCCTTCATCAGGCTTAAACATTATTGCAAGACAAAATGAAACCCTCCATATCTCCGCACCAGAACGTAAGTCTCTGGAGGACCAGGCCCTGCCCCAGGCCCCTGACTACCTCTCCATCTTCCTTTCACACTGTCCACCTTTTACTCTGCACTGAGAATGCACTGACCTCCTGCCAGGGCCTCCACACACCCTGCTCCTTCTGCCTCAGGGCCTTTGCACATGCTGTTTCTTCCACCTCAGGACCTTTGCACGTTCTGTTCCCTCTACCTTGGGGCCTTTGCATGTGCTGTTCCTTCTACCTCAGGGCCCTTGCATGTGCTGTTCCTCTGCCTTGGGGCCCTTGCACGTGCTTCCCTCCCACTCCCATCTAACATTCACCCATCTTCTGGATCTCAGTGTAGGCAGCACAGTCTCAGGGAAGCCCCTCCTGATCCCCAGACTAGGTTAGCACCTTCACCCCACGTCCCCACTGCCTGTTATCACCGTCAAAGCCACCTACCTGGGTAACTACTAAAATAACGCTCACCTCTGCCCACGTATGCTTTAAAACCAGGGGACTGTGTTGGTCCTTTTCACTGCTGTGCAGTCAGTGCCTGGCACGGAGTGGAGGGTTTGAAAATGTCTGATGGCAGCTGGAGGACTGAGGGGAGACCCGAGCCACAGCCCAGACTTCCCCAAGGGCCCCACAGGGCACAGCTCCCGGCTCTGCAGCCGGATATTCATGCACTGCTCCTGTCCAGAGACTGCCAGGCGTTCTGAGGCAGTGCACTCTCTCCTCTAAAGGTGCTGCTACAGCTTCTGGCTGCTGCTGAGCGAGACAAGGTCGGCGAGAGCTTAAGAAAACCCTGGAGGGGTCAGGACCCTGCTGGGCCCTGGACGAGAACACGGGGAGCGGAGCTCTCCTTAGAAACTCCAACCCTGTCCGGGAGGACGCTTCAGCTGCCTGGCATCAGAGCACAGAGACGGAGAGGGGCCAACCTCATCCCCTGCAGGGCTGCACGAAGGAGCTGAGCCCTCCTGGCAAAGGGGACAAACTAACTGTGATGCAAAGCCTCCTGCAAATCACGCATCACTCCGCTCTTCCTGGGCATTTCGAATTAATTTCTCTATCCGCCTTTGATGTCTCCACCCTGTCCCCTGTAGGCTCATAACATCTAATTGCAAATATTTTGAATCTGGTCCCATTTGGGAAATGCTGGCTCCCATCATTGGCATGGGCTGACGAATGAAGGGGCCCTTTTGGACTTAACAGATGCAGAGACCCCCCCAGCCCCTCGGAGGGACTGGAAGGCAGGCGAGGCCCGAGAGCCCCCATCTCCAGCCACGGTGGACAGTCTGTGGAGATGACCTACCCCACCCAGAGCTGACAGGTCACTAGGCTGAGGGACAGCAGGAAAACCAGGTCTGGGCGCGTGGCTCACGCCTATCATCCCAGCACTCTGGGAGGCTGAGGGAGGCAGACTGAGGTCAAGAGATCAAGACCAGCCTGGCCAACATGGTGAAACCCCGTCTCTACTTAAAATACACAAAACCACTGTGGTAGCAGGCGCCTGTAATCCCAGCTACTCAGGAGACTGAGGCAAGAGAATCACTTGAACCAGGAAGGCAGAGGCTGCAGTGAGCTGAGATCGCACCACCGTATTCCAGTCTGGGTGACAGAGTGAGACACCATCAAAAAAAAAAAAAGGGCCGGGCGCGGTGGCTCACGCCTGTAATCCCAGCACTTTGGGAGGCCGAGGCGGGTGGATCACAAGGTCAAGAGATCGAGACCATCCTGGTCAACGTGGTGAAACCCCATCTCTACTAAAACTACAAAAAATTAGCTGGGCATGGTGGCGTGTGCCTGTAATCCCAGCTACTCAGGAGGCTGAGGCAGGAGAATTGCCTGAACCCAGGAGGCAGAGGTTGCGGTGAGCCGAGATCGCGCCCTTGCACTCCAGCCTGGGTAACAAGAGCGAAACTTCGTCTCAAAAAAAAAAAAGGCCAGGCACGGTGGTTCACACCTGTAATCCCTGCACTTTGGGAGGCCAAGGCAGGTGGATCACGAGGTCAGGTGTTCAAGATCTGGCCAAGATGGTGAAATCCCGTCTCTACTAAAAATATAAAAATTAGCACATTGTGGTAGTGGATGCCTATAATCCCAGCTACTCGGGAGGCTGAGTGAGGCAGGAGAATCGCTTGAACCCGGGAGGCAGAGGTTGCCGTGAGCTGAGATCACACCACCGTACTCCAGCCTGGGCAAAAGAGCGAGACTCCATCTCAAAAAAAAAAAAAAAAAAAAAAAAAAAAGCAAGGACCCCCAAGGGAAGAAGCCAGAAGCCAGGAACTAGTGAGATTCTCAGGAGCGCGTGGGGAAGACCCGGGAACATCAGAGCTGACTGGTACTTCAGCCTGAGGGGCAGTGCCTCATTCATTCAACAGACCTCTGTCCCCCCATCTGACAGTGCCAAGAGCGTGGCTATGGAGCGGGCATCGAGATCAAAGGCTCCTTGCCTGCCTTAAGGGGCTTGCGGTCCTAAGGCTCAGTGACAAGAGACAAGGCAATGAGGTGGTATGGGTTAGGCCCTGCAGCCTGATGTGAGAGAAAGAACACAGGCTTAGGAGTCAGCTGGACTGAGGTGTGGGTCACAGCCCTGCCACACACAAGCTAAGTGACGTGGGCAGGGAGCTCAGCCTCACCTTCCTCGTCTGGGAAATGGGGATAAATTCTGCATGGCAGTTGAATGAGTGAATGGCCACGTTAAGTGTCCAGCTCAGGGCCAGGACTGTGGTGTGTCTGGCAGGCACTTCTCTCCAAACCTCTCTTTCTGGGCCCCTGGGAATGCATCTTGCTGTAGGCAGGAGAGAAGCAGGGAGGCAGGATGAGGGAAGCCCTGGGGCCCCGAGGTACTCACTTGGCACGCAGGGCCAGCTGCCGATCGTTGGGGCAGACCCACTGGTCATTCCCACTGCCGAAGATGGTGTCAGCCATGCTCAGGGCACCCGGTGGGGGGTGGGGAGTCGCACCTGGGATGAGGAGAGGGAAAAGAAAGAGTGAGCATCACTGGCTGGGGTACAGACGGCAGACAGGATCCCTGTGAACCCAGGCACGAGACACTTGGCCCTTCTACACCCTCTACACACTCTCCCACCAATGCCTGGACTCTCACTGTGAGAATCGGGCAAACCACTGTTCCCTCAAGCCTCCTTTTCAGAAAGCTCGTGGTTCTGGGAAGGGTGACGAGGCGGATTCTGTGGCTGAGTGACCAGAGTGAACGTGACTGGCAGAACACCAAAGCGTCAGCGTCAGAAATGAGAGAACAGACACATCCTTAGTAGTTTTCAACTCAGCCGGCCACCCCTGGAGGCCACCTGCTCCCTGCCCCTCCCAGTACAGCAGGGGCACACTAAGCACATCACCCAGCAGGAGGGCTGCCTGGGAAGCCCTACCCCGCTCCCAAACCTGGGGACCCAGTGCTCCTTCCCAGAGGTCCACACCGACAATCACAAAGCTCTCTAGGGCAGGGAAGAGATCTGGGAGTGGCAGCTGCAGCCACAATCACCAGCTGGCACCGTGCCAAGGGATGCTATCCACAGACACTGTCATGAGCATGGCAGCCTGAGGACCCCACAGGGAGGCAACCCTGCCCCAGAACCCGATGGCTTCCCCCATGCACCGCCTGGCACAGCTACTTTCTCCTCGCCTCCAAGGGCAGGATCTCCTTTGGTTCTCTGCTCTGAGGACACCGTGCGTGCATTCCGGAGGAAGTGTGCGATGAGGCTGGGGTATCTCAATGCCAGGGCAAGGACGAGGGGCTCTCCTGAGTCATCCACACTCCCCCGGTCTAATCCCAGCTAGACCAGTGCTTCTCAAACTCAGGATCCCTTTACACTCTTAAAATATATCCAGGCTCAAAATCCATTTGACACTTCCTCAAAATGTTGAACACAGACTTGTCGTATGTCCCAGAAACTCTACTCCTAATCACATACACAAGAGTACCGAAAACACATGTCCTCACCAAAACCTGGACACAGATGTTCTTAGCAGCATGATTCATAACAGCCAAAAAGCAGAAACAACCAAAATACCCAACAACTGATGAATGAGAAGAATGTGCCGTATCCATACAATGGAATATGAATTGGCCGTAAAAAGGAATGAAGTGCTTATATCAGCTGAAACTGGATGAACCTTTCAAACATGCTAAGAAAAGCCAGTCACAAAAGACCACAAACTGTGTGAACCCATTTATATATGACAGGCCCAGAATCACAAATCTAGAGGCAGAAAGTGATAAGTGGTTGTTGGGGTTGCAGGAAGAGGGAAAGAGAATGCCCACGGGCTCAGGACTTCTTTTTGGGCTGATAAAATGTCCTGGCATTAGACAGTGGTGATGGTTACACAATTTTGTGAATATACGAAAACCACTCAATTGTACCCTTTCAAAGTGGGAATGTTATGGTATATGAATTACAACTTCAGCACAAATACAGACCATGAAAATAAAAATGAATTACAACTCATTCATAGCCCAGACACGGTGGCTCATACCTATAATCTCAGCACCTTGGGAGGCCAAAGTGGGCAGATCACTTGAGCCCAGGAGTTTGAGACCAGCCTGGGAAAGATGGTGAAACCGTGTCTCAACAAAAAGAATAAAAATTAGCTGGGTGTGGTTCATGCCTGTGGTGCCAGCTACTCCAGAAGCTGAGGCGGGAGATGGTCTAAGCCCAGGACGTTGAGGCTGCGGTGAGCCATGATTTCGCCACTGTGATTCAGCCTAGGTGACAGAGCAAGACTCTGTCTCAAAACAACAACAAAATGCTATAAAAAATTACTGAGGTCAGACATGGTGGCTCAGGCCTATAATCCCATCATTTTGGGAGGCCAAGGTGGGAGGATTGCTTGGGGGTCAGGAGTTGAAGACCAGCCTGGCCAATGTGGTCAAACTCTGCCTCTATTAAAAATATAAAACAATCAGCTGGGCAGGGTGCTGGGCACCTGTAATCCCAGTTGCTCAGGAGGCTGACACAGGAGAATCACTTGAACCTGGGAGGCAAAGGCTACAGTGAGCCAAGATCGAACCACTGCACTCCAGCCTGGGCAAGAAGGACTAGACTCGGTCCAAAAAAAAAGATTCTTGAGGACTCCAAAACACGTGAGCCATGACCATTGAGAGTCATCATACTGAAATTAAAACTGAGAAAATCTTTAAAACTTTGTTAATTCACTAAAAATAATAAACCCATTAGATGATCACATAATTTACAGTTTATGAAAAACTACACTTAAAAAACAATTAGACAAATGACATTGTTTTACATTTTTACAACTCTTTTTAATGTTTGGCTTCACAATAGAACAGCTGGATATTCACACGTGACCTTTCACTCCAGCGTTTGTGATGGGTTGTTCGTTGAAGTGATCCAGGACATCCAGACCCTCACAAACATGCATGATGGCTGAGGAAAGGAGGGCTTTTTTTTTACTTTCCAGGAAATTGTAAATATTTTTCTTTGATATTGCACCAAAACTCTACAGATGTTCATTTCTTAAACATTAGTTCCAGTGTGGCATCTGAAACCACATCAATGAACTTCTCCTTTTCTGTATATTTGTGAGAGGATGAAACAAGAGTCCTATTCTTCTTCTTACGAAAACACTTTTGACCCTGTGGTCTCCGGCGGGGCGTTGGGAGACCCCGAGAGGCCTGGGGCCCGCTTTGAGAACTGCCTTTCTAGGCCAGTGTCAGCCATTTCCATCACGACCAGCAGGGGAAGGGCGCGACCACCAGCACCTGGCCACACGGGGGCTCAGGCCACCACCTCGACCACACGGTCCCTCCACCCCACCTGCTCTTCCAGATTAGACCCAACACTCCCAGGGGGCTGTCTCGGGGATGGGACCTGGGCAGCCCCAGGCCCCAAATAGCCAAGTGTGGAAACCCCACGGCCAGGCCCAGACCTGGGGAGGCCTGAGGTGCCCAACCACCTGGACCTCCTCAGAGGAAGGCTCAATCTCCTCCCGAATGAGGCTGATGGGCGAGCAAGGAAAGACAGGGTCAGGCATGACACACTCCTCAAACAACTTTAATCAGGCCTCTCCCAGCCTTTCAGTGACGATGCTTTGCTTTGCTTTGTTTTTTTAAATCTTCAGTTATCTTGTGCATAGCAGTCACACCATTCCACATGGGTGTGAAAAGCATTATTCTGTTCAAAATAAACATTTAAAATATACTACAGCCCGAACGCAGTGGCTCACGCCTGTAATCCCAACACTTTGGGAGGCTGAGGTAGGCAGGTCACTTGAGCTCAGGAGTTTGAGACCAGCCTGGGCAACATGGTGAAACCCCGTCTCCACTAAAAATACAAACATTATCTGGGTGTGGTGGTGCACACCTGTAGTCCCAGCTACGTGGGAGGCTGAGGCAGGAGAATCACTTGAACCCGGGAGGTGGAAGTTGCAGTGAGCCGAGATCACGCCGCTGCACTCCAGCCTGGCGACAGACTGAGACTCCATCTCAAAACAACAACAAAAAAGATCTATAAAACTTTAGCTCCTCTGTAAACTTACTAGAAGTCCAGGAACAAGTCAACTGTCTTCCTGGGCCTCAGTTTCCTCACTGGCACCCCACAGAGCTGTCAGACAGGCTGGAGCAACGGCCTCGTGCAATTCCAAAGCCTGGTTCTGACTCTGCTGAGTTATGTGAGGCCAGGGAGGCTGCTGGCTGCTCTCACGTGGGAGGCGGGAACTGAGCCCCTCCCAGCCCAGTCCACAGGACAGAGAAGAAGAGGCCACAGGAACTGCGTCCCCCACGTCCCCGCCTTTCTCACTGCTTTCACGGTAGAGGCGCCACAGAGCCACGTGCTGCAGAGAGGTCAAGGGAGGTGGAAGTGTGTCGCCTCTGGGGCGGGGGCCGTGGGCAGTGGCAGGGCAGGTTCATCACGGACAGCAAGTTTGTGGCTGACCTGAGAAAAGGTCAGAAATGAGAACCTGGAGGATTCAGGCCCCGGCTCTGGCACGGCCATGATAACCTCACCCTGGCCGTGGCTGGCACACCAGAAGGTACAGCTGTCCTTCACTCGAACAAAGCAACTCGGGACCGAGGGCGGAGAGGAAGGGCGACTCGAGAGGCACATTTTAGGAAACTGATGATGCAGCTGGCTGTGGTTCTCCAAAGCTCTTCAGCCTGACTGCCGCCAGCTCCCGACTCGGCAGCAGGGAGGGCCTCCCCAGCTGACCTCCTGGCCCAGCACCCCCTTTACCCATGGGCAAAATGTGCTCCCACCACCCAGCACTCACTTGGGCTTGGAGGGCAGGGAGTCTGGCCCATTCTCTCTTAAGAGTAGGGTCCTGAAAACCCCAAAGAGCAGCACCACGTGTGCTCAACAGAGACTGTGCCCTTGTGCTTCTATGTGGCCACTTGTCCTGGGCAAAAATCAGACTGACGAGGGAACACGATAGGGCCTTACAGAAGGTGAGAGGAAAAGCAGGGAAGCAAACCCCCAAATTCAGGAGGCGAGGATGGAGGTGGCCTGGAGGGAGCCGGGGCAGGAGGTTGTGCGGACAGAGCTGGTGGAGCCCCAGCCACTTCCTCAGTAAACTAGAGAAGTGATCCCTGGGGCCAGGTCTGTCTCTGAGGTCCCCCAGCTGGGACAGGAAAGAGGCTAGAGAAGGGTTGTGTATTTGTATGTGTGTGCGTGTGTGTGTACACACGGGCGTGACAGGTAAGCAGTTGAAGAAGGGTGTGTGTGTGTGTGCACATGAGGGGTTGCGTGTGTGTGTGTGTGTGCACACGCAACAGGTAACAGGTTGAAGGAGAAGGGGATGTGTGTGTGTACATGAAGGGGGCTGTGTGTGCACATGAGGGATTTCGTGTGTGTGTGGTACGCACGCGACAGGTAAGAGGCTGAAGAAGGGGTATGTGTGTGTACATAAAGGGGGGGTGTGTGCACATGAAGGGTTGTGTGTGTGTGGCGTGTGTGTACGTGTACGTGTACCTGAGCATTTTCAATGAGCACAC